GCTCCCTGCTCGGCGGGGAGTCTGCTTCTCCCTCTGATCCTCCCCCTCTCATGCTCTCTATCTCATTCTCTCTCTCAAATAAAAAAAAAAAAAAAAAAAAAAAAGCAGGTCACTTAAAACTAGACTGAGCAAATGCAAGGAAAGTGCAGGGCCTATAAGGAGATGACCAGGCAGTGAGACCCAGCCGGATGGGTGCGTGTGGGTGCGTGTTGCTGCGTGCAGCATGTGGGCGAGGTGGGCTCAGGAAGTGGAGGCCATCGGGAGACACTCGAAAGAGAGTGTATGGACTGAGGGAAGCTCAGGGGAAAAGCTCTTATTGAGGCCACTTCAGTTCTTTTCAAGTGGGTACCTGTTGTTCCGCCTCATCTCTTTACACCCACAAACTGTCCTGCACCCTTTGCCTCACTGAGCCCCTCATTCACCTTCTCCGGCCCTTGATGCCACTTCTCCCACCTTAGCTCCTCGTTCTTCTCCTTCAGCCATAAAGCCTTTCCTTTCAGACCCTGAAACAATCCAGACATGCTGCACTCTGACGGCCTCTGTGCTCATTGTTGGGTCTTCCCCTAGCTCTTCTCGTTATCCTGATTTAGATATTCTATCCGAGTGTGTTTACGTGAGTATCGTTTATCTCATGGAAGATCCATGAGAGCAGAAGCTTTGCCTGGTTTGTTCACTGATACACCCTCTCATGTAGCACAGTGCCTGGCACAGTAAGTGTTCGCCCAGTAAAGATTTGTTGAATCAGGAATGACCAATCCCACAGTGATTGGCATTTAGGTCGGTTTTCGTTTTCATTGTTACAGACTCTGCAGTGCAGCTTCCTACAAAGACCTCTTTCTTCACTAGGCCAATTATTTCCTTAGGACAAATTCCTAGAAGTTAAATTGCTATTTCAAAGTAATCTTTTGACCAAAGTTCTTTTAGTTGCAAATAGTGGAAAAAAAAAAAAAACCCACTTCAGAATGGCTTCAACAAAATTAAAAAAAAAAAAAAAAAGGTACTGGCAAGGTAATGGGGTATCTTGGGGAATGCAAGGGGGGGGTTTCATCCCTGAGCCCTTGAAGGACCAGCCCCGAGAACTGCAAAGCTGCGGACAATGCAAGCATCATTTTTTCTTCCCCTTCTTTCCCTGCACCCAGGTTCTCCCTACATCTTCCTTCCCCTCTTCCTGCCCCTCCTTCCCTTCCTTTCTCTCCCCCCAGATAGTTCGTAGTCACAGACTCCACCCACAGAGCACAGACTCTCACTTCAAGCCAACTAGAATAGCTGAGTCCCAATTAATAAACGGAGAAGCGATCTGATTGGCCCTGTTGACCCAGATGTCCACATCTGGTTGAGCCAACTGGGACGGTGGGAGTAGGAAGGATCACATCATTGGTCAGCAGTACAGCTGCTGAGACCCACCCCGAGATTGGGTTTCCGAGGACAGGGAGCTGGCTCGTGAGCTAGTGACTGCTGCTTGTTTTTCACGTCAGCATATATTTCTAAATTCTCAGGAGGGGGCTCTGCTTTCCTCTCGCACCTCCGTGCATGTGCAGTGGTGCCTGGCTTACGGTGGACTAGGCCACAGTGACAAATAGACAACAAAACGGTGGTAGCCTCACACAACACAGATCGTCTCTCTTGCTCTTGTAACAGTCCTGGGAGGGATTGAGATCCACAGGGCGGCCGTCCTTGGTGCGGTCATTCAGGGACCCAGGCCCCCTTCATCTGGAGGTTCTGTTACTCCCCGAGGCCTGTCTCCTGCTGCCTGCAGCCACTGAAGGGTAAGAGCAGGACGGAGCTACACAGGAGGCTTCTAGGGGTCAGGCCTGGAAGTGGCTCACATCCCATTAGAAGGAACGTCTCATGGCCACCCCCGACTGCAAGGAAGACTGGAAAACGTCATCCAGTTTGTGCCCAGATGAGCGGAGAAGGATATTAGCATTCGGCTGCGGTCCCTGCCGTGCTGGCGAGCACACAGCCTGTCATTTATGCCAGATGTCAAGTAGCGTCTGGCAAAGCTTTGTCATTCCGTTCTTCAGTTCCTCTCTCCCATTCTCACTTGCACTTGCCCCAGCTGGGCTTTTATTCCCCACAGTGCAGTAAAATGGCTCCTGTCAAAGTCAGTGGTGCTCTCCATTTGCTAAAAACAGTAGGGAGTTCTCAGGCCTCCAGAGACTTGACCTATTGGCAGCGTCTGTTACAGTTTGTCATTTCCTCCACCTCAAACACTGTGTTCACTTGGACTTCCAGTAATCCCACTCCTGGTTCTCCTGCTGTCTTTCTGGCTGTGTTTCAGTCCTCTTGGCTAGCTTTTTCCCGTCTCGCCACCTTCTAAACATGAGAATTGCTCTGGTGCTCAGTTTGTTGGCCTCACTCCCTTAGTGGTCTGAGTGGAGATCATCCGACAGTTCTGGGATGTCTGTCTCAGACCCCAGGCCCAGCCCTGAACCGCCCATTGAGCTCTCTACTGGTTCTCTGACAGGCATCCAGAACCCCCCTTTCCAAACAGAAGGCCTCGCCCCCCCCCACCCACCTGCTCTCCCACAGTCCTCCTGGTCACATACGTGCCAAGTCCCTTGTTAGTTGTTTGGGCTAAAAACCTCGAAGTCATCCGTGACTCCTTTTTTTAAAACACTCTTCCTCCAGTCCATCAGCTCTATGAGGCTGCACCCAGACTGACCATTTGTTACTACAGTGGTCTGGGCCGCACCACGGTTGACAGCAGCCTCCTAACACCTGCCCTGTCGCTGCCCTACAGCCTGCCCGCAGCACCACAGCCTGAGTCCCGCTTTAGCGTGTGCGGAGCCAAGCCACTCTCCCCAGCCTTCCAGGTTAGAGCAAAATCCTGGTCCTACAGACAGGGCCAAGTGTGCCTGGTACAAAATGAAAATGGGAGGCCCCTTGTTCGAAAGCAGGAAAAAAAGCTGTGAAAAGTACTAAAATATTAAGTTTTTCCTTTCTTTCCTGGTTTCTCTTGACTTCTCATAATGTTTTTTATTTACTGTGGAATGTCTTCCTAAGTTAAGAAAAACCAATTTATTTTAAATTATTAGCATGAGGGGCGCCTGGGTGGCTCAGTTGGTTAAGCGACTGCCTTCAGCTCGGGTCATGATCCTGGAGTCCCGGGATCGAGTCCCGCATCGGGCTCCCTACTCAGCAGGGAGTCTGCTTCTCCCTCTGACCCTCCCCCCTCTCATGTACTCGCTCTCTCTCATTCTCTCTCTCTCAAATAAATAAATAAAATCTTTAAAAAAAAAATAAAAAAATAAAAAATAAAAAAATAAAATAAATTATTAGCATGAATTTACCATTGGTATTGTGCAACACCAGTTTAAAATGCAAAGAGCGTGTAGTCCATATGCAGAATAATACAAGAGCATTTACTATATATGCAGGATCATCTAAATTGCCCTACTTGTATTTTGGAACTCATACATGCCTGTGTATTTCATCGTTACCAGGACAGTGGAAATGCTGCACAAAATTAATTCAGCTTTTTTCTACTTATTAATATGCACACTCTCTCCCCACACTATCCCCCATCAGCTCCCTGATGCGTAAGGAAGGACTGAAAGGGAAAGGAACAAGGGTCTCCCTGCCTTGCCTTTTCCTTCCGTGTCATCGTTTTCAGTATAAGTGATCAGCTGTTCTAGGCAAATAACAGGAATGAAAAAAAGATATGATAGTTCCTTGGTTGTTCGTGTGTGTTTAGAACACCCTTTTCTCTGCATCTGAAGCAAGCTCTTGTTCTGTGGAAAGCCTGGCCTCTCAGGCTGTGGGTGCCTCCACCTACTCAGGTGTAGATGGCAAACACTCAGCGTCTGGACTCCGACTCTCCGTGAATAGTCGCACTTGTTTGTGGTGAGTCCACTGGAATCCTGTGCTCCTGGGTCATTGAGCATGCTGTATGCAAATGGTGCAGCAAGGAACAATGGACATGTGTAGAGTGTATATCCCTGCTTACAGACATGACCCACTGTCCCATCAGACTTCACTTACACAAGTTCAAAGGTAAGATTATTAAGAATTTCAAATAAAAAATTAAACAAAAAAATGTTTTCAAGATGGCAGCAACAGAACAGGTCTTGTGCCCATGAGCCTGACTGCCTGTGGTTGGGACTACACTCAAACCTCATCTTGTACCATTTTCCCCCAGTCCACTCAGCTCTAGCCATGTGGCCTCCTTACAGTTCCCCCAAAATGCCAGGCTCAGTGTCCTTGCTCTCATGTCCGTTTCATTGCTTCTGCCAGATGCTTTCCCCCAGGTATCTACATGGCTTCGGCCCTCATATCTTCCTATTTTGTGCTCAAATGTCACCTTAGTGATCTAGTCCCTGAAAACCCTATATAAAATTGTCTACTCTGTCCCCACTGTACACCTTTCATTGCCTTATTTTCCTGGGTGGTTCTTCTCATCATCTGATGGCCACGTAGTTCTATGTTTATATAATATATAGAATGTACACTCTAGTGTTCACTAGAATGTACACTCCACAATGACAGTGATTTTTGTCCACTCTTGTATTGTATTGTCCTTACCTAGTTCAGGGGCCTGGCACATAATAGGTGTGTGATAAATATTGTTAGACAAATAAGCGACTGCTAAGTGAAAAAAAAAAGTACTTCGTTTTATTTTATGTTCCTTTGCTCATCAGTGAATACTAAGTATCCTATTGTATGTTTATTGGTGGTTCGTGTTACTTCTCTTCCACATTTTTTTTTTTTTAAGATTTTATTTATTTGACACAGAGAGAGAAAGCACAAGTAGGCAGAGAGGCAGGCAGAGAGAGAGGGAGAAGCAGGCTCTCCACTGAGCAGGGAGCCGGACGTGGGGCTCGATCCCAGGACCCAGGGATCATGACCTGAGCCAAAGGCAGCCGCTTAACCGACTGAGCCACCCAGGCGCCCCTCTCTTCCACATTTCTTATTCACATTCATTAACCATTTAGTGTGGGGCTTGGTTGGGGCTGAGTGTGTCTTTGATATGTAGAGTTCTGAGTGCTAGAAGGACAGCCAGATAGCCAAGAACTATTAATCCCTGAGACTGTTAGTTTGTAAATAAATTACTCCAGAAACAGTGGTCAGTCATCAGGATTTCTGCTTCTGGGCCTTGCAAAGGACAGCGTTCCCCTTCCTGAGGTACATCACTAACGGATCTGTTTCTCAGCATTTTTGTCAACACTTTTTAAACTTACTTAATTTTTTGTTTTTCAGACTTATGGTGAGGGCTCTGGTGCTGACTGTAGACGCCATGTCCAAAAATTAAATCTGCTGCAGGGACAGATTTCAGAGATGTCACCCAGGTACAGTTGTTTGAGAAGGGCATGGTTATCTTGTCTTGCCCTGTGTTCCCCTTGAGTGGTTAGTAGAAGTAGAAGATGAAGAAATCCCTTAGATTTCCGTATGGTGATTAGTTCCCCTGAGTGGTCTTCCCACTGAAAATAACTAAAAATGCTAACTATAGTATTTTGTACACTGATGAGATGGCAAGGAAGTCAGCGAAATATCAGAAGTCAAAAGTAAAGCAAAAGCCAAAATCCAGAGAGTAAGCTGATCTGGAGCTTCCATTTAGATGGCTGGGAAGGGTGCAGGAGACAAAGACAAGGCCTAGGGCCTGATCAGTGTGGGAGGGTCAGTAGGAGACTGCCACAGAAAGCAGAGTCCCCAAAATACTACACCCTCGGTGGATGAACAAATGAACTAGAAATGCACCCTCTCTGCAGCAGGGAGCATGTTGACCTTGGCATTGGCTAAGAAAGGGAACTCTCTCTCTAGGGTTTTCTAAACACAAGAAAGCTGTCACATGGCTTTTCAGCCTTTTACATGCACTGTGTGAAAAGCCTCAAGCTGAGGATTTTTAAATTGTCCAAGGAAGCAAAGGTAAATGCAACTCCTCTGGAGCATACATCTTCAACCCAGGCCTGAGAGAATTTCCACAGATAAAGTTCCAAGAAGCATCTACTCAGAGTTAAAAATCATTAAACACTCAAGGAGATATGTCACCATGAGCAAAAGACAACAGAAACAACAGAAAAGTGAGACACACAAGACTTCAGAGTACAGAATGTATATTTAATACATTTAATGAGATAAAAGACAGGGTTGGTAATTTAAAAAGCAAAGGACTTCAGGCCACCTGTCTGGCTCAATCAGTACAGCTTGCAACTCTTGATCTCAGGGTCATGAATTCAAGCCCCACATTGGGGGTAGAGTACAAGAAAAAAAAGAAGAAGAAGTAAAGGACTTTTAAAAACGACCATGTGGGTTTAACGAACCAAAAAGAGTTTGTAGAAATGAAAAACATAATCATTGAAATTAAAAATTCAGTGGACAGGTTAAGCATTAAATGTAGCTGAAGAGAGAATCAGTGAAATGGAAGTTAAATCTGAAGAAAGTATTTACAATGCAACACAGAAATAAAAACATGGAAAATGTGAGTTGAGAAACATGGAAGCTACAGGAAGAGTTCCAGCAAGAGAGAATAAAGAAAGTGGGGCAAAGGCAATATTTGGAGAGAAAAGACCAGAGCATTTTCCAGAATCAAAGGCTTACATTCTTAGATTTAAGAAACAATAAATCTCAAACTGGATAAAGTCGTTATTTTATTTGCAAACAACATGGTTGTGTATATAGGAAATCCTAACCAGCCTATACAAATGCTACTAGAGCTAATATTCTACCAAGATCACAAGGATACAAAGTCAACATACAGGGGTGCATGGGTGGCTCAGTCGGTTAAGTGTTTGACTTCAGCTCAGGTCATGATCTCAGGGTCCTGGGATTGAGCTCGCGTAGGGCTCCTTGCTCAGTGGGCAGTCTGCTTCTCTCTCCGCTTCGTATAAATAAATTCTAAAAAAGTCAACATACAGAATTAAATTATTTCTATATAAATGCTATGAGCAATTGGAAATGATTTTTTAAATCAAATACCATTTAGAACAGCATCAAAAAATTAGATACTTAGGGATAAATGCAACAAAAAATGTGCAAGATCTATTCAGTAAAACCTACAAAACATTGCTGAGAGAAATTAAAGAAGAGCTAAATTAATGAAGAGATATAACATGTTCATGGATTGGAAAACTCAGTATCATGACGATCTCAGTTTATCCGAAATTGGTAGAGACAACCTAATCCAAATCAAAATTCCAGTGGGCTTTTTTTTTTTTTTTGGTAGAAATTGACAAACTGATCCTAAAATTTATATAGAAATACAGGTACCTAGAATTATCAAGACAGTTTTGAAGAGAACAGAGCTGGAGGACTTCTACAGCCTGATTTCAAGATCTACTATAATGCTGCAGTAATTGAGACAATGCGATATTGGTGAAAGGCTAGACATACAGATAAATCAGAAGGTAAATGGATAAACTGGTATGTTCATACAGTGGAGCGCTGCAACACTGAAAACAACGTGGGCAAATCTCAAAAACACTGCTAAATGAGAGAAGCCGGACACAAAAGACTACATGCTGTAGGGATCAGGGATTTTCTGGGGCAGAGGAGAATTGCCTCTAAAGACACATATGAGAACTTTTAGGGGTGATGAAAATTTTCCACATCTTGTCCATTATATCTCAAAATTTTTTTCCTAGATGTTGACTGGATGATCGTTTCAAAGATATCATTCATCAAAGCTCATCTAACTATACACTTAAATTTTAGTTTATTTCATACCTTAAGTTAATTTTTAAGGTTAAAAAAAAATCTGCCCTTAGACACAGCAACATAATGAAATCACAGAACACAGAAGACAAAGGGAAGAGCTGAAAAGTAGCTGGAGAGAAGAGAGATCACCTACAAAGGAACAGCAGATGCCCAACTTCTCAGTGCTAACTTTATTTTTTTTTTTTTAAGATTTTATTTATTTTTTGACAGAGAGAGGCACAGCGAGAGAGGGAACACAAGCAGGGGGAGTGGGAGAGGGAGAAGCAGGCTTCCCGCCGAGCAGGGAGCCCGATGCGGGGCTCGATCCCAGGACCCCGGGATCATGACCTGAGCCGAAGGCAGATGCTCAACGACTGAGCCACCCAGCGCCCTTTCTGTGGTGACTTTAAAGCAAGAAGACAGACTGGTATCTTCAGACTGTTGCAAGCTGTCCTTTATTGATGGAGTTGAGTTCCTGAGTCAGAACGGTGAGCGGAGTTCTGGTCAGTAGCTGGTAGGACACCGCCCAAGTGAACGCCGGATTATCACCCAGGTGGCCGGGTAGGTGTTGCACGTGCATGCCCTCATTGCCTCTTGTGGCCTGTGAGGATCGAGGACTTCTACATACAGATGAAGAAACTGAGGAATAGATGCCCACATCCCGTTGCTCACTAGAGAGAGTCCCCATTTGATGGTGCCATGTAACCACCCTGTTGGATGCGGATGGGCGTGGCTTCGCGCCAACCTCCAGCCCTCGCATGGTACGTGTTCTCATGGCCAGTCAGTCCCAGTAGAGGCCATGGAGGCCCTGGCCCCCCACGCTTCTGCGTGTGGCGAGAGAGCCCTGCTGCCGCGGGGAGGCTGGTGGAAGTCACTGTGACACACACAGTGCCTCTCCTCTCTTGCAAGGGTTGAGGTAGAACTCTAAGGACTTGTGTAACTCTGTGCAGTGGCAACTTGGCCAATGCTGACGGGAGGGACCCTGTGCTACGAGGCTTCAGCCGATGTTATTCTGTCTGTATCCCAGGCCCTCAGCAAGGCATGGGCACACGTCATCTCTTTCATCTTCATAGTCACCCACACCGTCTTGTCCCCATTTGTGGGTGAGGGAACTGGGGTACGTTGATGAACCCAAAGCCACACTGTGACAGTGACAGCCAGTCATTGGCAAAGCCAGGATGCAAACACGGGTCTGTCTAGGTGAAGAGTCAGCCCCTTCTGCCCTGTGTCGCCTTTCCCATTGATGGAGGGCTTGACCAGCCTAAATCTGAACAGCAAATGGTCCCCCCTCGCAGGCCCTTCTGAACTGTTTGAAGATCACCAGGTTACATCACAACAACAGACCTAAGATCCTAAGATCTCTAGAGCAGTCCTTGATATCCACTGTCAAGTATTCACATCCTGCTGTCCCCATCTCCTTGCCCTCCGTCTCCCTAGTGATTTCACTAAGGACACATGTACAATCTTTCACCAAGGTCTCTGGAAGAACCCGGAAATGTTGATGAAGAGGAAAATGCAGGGCCCGGGCAGGCTGAGCATGGGAGTGCGCAGGTAAGTGTGTCCCAGAGGGGGTTCCATTTATTCATTTGTTGGTCTTTTGTGCAGCAAACGCGATCGATAACGGACACTTGGCTTAAAGCTGCAGGGAACACAAAAAGGAGTAAACCCATCCTTTTGTGAGGCAGGAGACAGCCATGCATAGCAGTAATTACAGGACTCTGAAAAGGGCGTTGTCTCTGGCTGGGAGAACTCCTCTGAACTTAGCTTGAACTTACCTCCCCGTGTTTCTCGCCTTGGCCCCGTCGCGCCCTGGGCACACCTCAGCTAGGGAAAGGATGCTCTGGCAGAGTACCTGGCTTTCGGGTTCCCTTTCTCCGGACCAAGCCTCCCGGCGGGGCTCACATCCAGTTTTCTGCCCCGGTGCCCAGTAATGTAGGTGCTCAGACCGTGGTGGGTGGGCGGTGTGTGTCGGAGCTTGAGTGACTGAGGTGACACCATGGGTACGTCCAAGGTGCCGTGGGCACGTGGAACACTGTGTCCTGCCAGGGCCGGGGCAGTGCGAGCAGCTGTCCAAGGCTCCCCGCCCAGCTGAGGACAGAGCCCGCCTCTGCTCACAGAAGTGCGTTGGCGGTGCCCTCCCTCTCCCAGCTCTTCATATTTGTATTGTGAACGGGAGCGTTGCTCATACTCCACTTTACACAGCAGCTCTCACATGGTTGGCCCTATACGTTCAATTTGTCCACTGAGGGACTCCATTTTACATCGTCACGATTATGACAAGTCCTGGTTTGCACCCTGGAGTTTTCACTCATGTCGTTCTTGCGTTGCTGTAGAGTTTGCAGTGATGCCCGTATCTACAGAATATAGTGGTGGTACCAAGTATTTACCCCATGATGATTGGGCACGTAGATTATTTCCAGATTTTTGCTACAGTGAGTATTCGCTATGATTTACCTCACTTTGTTGAGCATCTTTGTGCCTTTGCCTTCCTTTGGAACCCCTAGGTCGGGGAGCGTGGACATTTGGAAAGTTCCTTGATGAGTCGTGTCCAGCAGCTCTCCCAAGCTCTGTGCCAGTGTTCACGGTCCCCAGTGGTGCCTCAGGACGTCTGTCTCCCCAGTCCCCCCCCTCCACCCGGCAAAATGCCTTTCCCGGGACCAGGGCGGATGTGGGTCCTGAGAATAAACTTACTCCCCAATCCCGTAGGAAAAACCTCAGTCCTCAGAGAACCGCTGGCTGAAGTATCTGGAAAGAGACTCGGAAGAGCTGGGGATAGAAAGAGGAGTGTGTTTCGAGAGACCGCCCTTGTGCAGGACAGAGAAGCCAGAGCCTCCCTTCAACACAGGCCCGCCTAGAAAAAGGTGCAGAGCCAGTCATCAATGCAGCCATCACCCCACCCCCACGGTGCCTGCCGGCCGGGGGACCAGCCTGGCTGGCACTGGCCACCAGGGACCCGCACCACCAAGCCCTCCTTGGCCTTGCCGGGTACCGGGTGCTGTCGTGCAGCAGTCAGGGTTGGGTGGGATGTCAGCATGGGCACCTTGTGACTGCACACAAAGTGAAGTGTGGCCGGAGTAGCTGGCGGTTCTGGGAGCTTGTCGCCTGCTGCCGGGAAGACTGACCTTTTGTAGGTCTCTTCTCTAGACTTACTCTGCATTTCAGTGAGTCTTCTGAGATATTACCTTCTCTAGATCCAGGGTGGTCCCTACAGGGCAAGTGAAAGTGACATTGGGAGGTAGATTCCAGTTCAAAATAAGAACTTTCTAGCAACTACAAGCTTGGGGCAGAGAAGCAGCCTGCCTTGGATGTTGTCGGGCAGCCTGCTGTTGGCAGTGGGGCAGAAGCTGAGCGGCCACCTGGGTGGGAAGCTGTTTGGGAGGACAAGGTCCCTACCTGTGCTGGGGTGACTGCCAGGTGTGGTGATGGGACTGGATTCTTGACAGTGCTTTCCCTCCACCAGGAAATGCAGCCAGAGCGCAGTCTGGCCTCCACACAGCCCCAGTGTCCAGAACCTAGGTGATTCTGAAGTTACTTTGGAGCCCCAGAAGGTCAGTGATTGAGTGATTGAAGTGTTTCTCTTCTGGTCCCAGTAACCATGAAACACACATAGAATTGTTTACTACCCGAGTGTTTTTTCTGCTCTGACTTAAGCCAACTCCTTTCTCTGGCCTGACCATTTCCCTGCCCTGCTCAATCTCAGTGATGTGAGCTCCCGGGCAAAAGGACAGCTTGATGCCTTGGAATCAACCAAGGTTGACCAGTAGGGCTTTTCTGAGTCAGAACCCTTCTCTTCCCTCGACGTGGCGTGGCAGGTCTTTGTCAGACTGTCCGACATGGGACCTGCCCCGGACTTCTGAGGTGCTATTCACAGCTTCACCTTCACTTACCCAGGTGTGTCCTTTCACACCGAGGCACTGTCTTCACCTAGGATCTGCTCTTGTTCTTTTTATTATTGAAGTATGGTTGACATACGATGGTATATTAGGTTTTAGGTGTACAACATAGTGATTTGGCAACTCAGTACATGAATCAGTGCTCACCATGATAGTCCTTGTCCGTCAGCATACATTATTACAATATTATTGACTATATTTCCTATGCTATATTTTTCATCTCTTTGAACTTTGTACCTCTTAATCCCTTTCATCTATTTTGCCCATCCCCTTGTACCCTTCCCAAGGACAATCACCAGTTCTCTGTATTTATGAGTTCCTTTTTTATGCCTGAGTAATATTCCATTATGTAGATATAGACCCCATCTTCTTTTTCCATTCACCCATCAGTGGACACTTGCGCTGCTTCCATATCTTGGCTATTACAAATAATGCTGCAGCAAATATGCATAGATCGTTTCAAACTCGTGTTTTTGCTTTCCTTGGGTAAATATCCAGTAACAAAATTATTGGATCATATGGTTTTTCTATTTTTAATTTTTTGAAGAAATTCCATACAGTTTTCCACAATGGCTGCACCAATTCACATTCCCACCAACAGTGCACAAGAGTTCCCTTTTCTCCACATCTTCCCCAATACTTGTTATTTCTTATTTTTTTGATACTACCCATTCTGACAGGTGTGAGGTGATATCCCATTGTGGTTTTGATGTGTTTTTCCCTGATGCTGAGTGATGTTGAGCCTCTTCTCATGTGTCTGTTAGCCATTGGTATGTCTTCTTTGGAAAAATGTCTAATTGGGTCCTCTGCCTGTTTTTTAATTGGATTATTTGGGTTTTTGGTGTTGAGTTGTAAGTTCTTTATATATTAAGGATATTAACCATCTTCAGATACATCATTTGTGAATACCTTTTTCCATTCAGTATGTTGCCTTTTCATTTTGTTAATGGCTTCCTTCACTGTGCAAAAGCTTTTTATTTTTATGTACTCCCAGTATTTTATTTTTGCTTTTGTTTCCCTTGCCTGAGGAGACATAACCATAAAGACGTTGCCAAGGCCAATGTCCAACAGCTTACTGGCTATGTTTTTTCTTAGGAGTTTTATGGTTTCAGTTCTCACATTTAGGTCTTTAATCCATTTTGAGTTTATTTTTTTGTATAGTCTAAGAAAATGGTCCAGTTTCCTCACCATCTTTCTTGGAGAGACTATCTTTTCCCCATTGTATGTTCTTGCTTCCTTTGTCCTTGATTATCTGGCCATATAATCATGGGTTTAATTCTGAACTTTCTGTTATGTTCCATTGATCTAGGTGTCTGTTTTTCTGCCAGTACCATACTGTTTTGATTACAATACCTTTGTAGTATATCTTGAAATCTGGGATTATACCTCCAGGTTTTTTCTTTTGTAATTTAAGGATTATTTCTTCTAGTTCTGTGCAAAATACTATTGGTATTTTCATGTGGATTGCATTGAATTTCATAGATTGCTTAGGGTAGTATGGACATTTTAACAGCATTGATCCTTCCAATCCATGAGCATGGTTTATCTTTCCACTTGTTTGTGCCCTTTCAGTTTCTTTCATCAGTGTCTTACAGTTTTCAGAGTATAGGCCTTTCACCTCCTTGGTTAAATTTATTCCTATGTAGGGCGCCTGGGTGGCTCAGTTGGTTAAGCGACTGCCTTCGGCTCAGGTCATGATCCTGGAGTCCCGGGATCGAGTCCCGCATC